TATGCAGGGGGTCGGATTCGATGATCTATTGAGGTCCCTTCCAACCCTAACATCTATGAATCTATGAATCTTGGCCTCTGGCTCCACCCCTACGAGTGCGCACACCATAGTGAGGCTGGTGGAACAGGGGCTCACCTGGGGGTGACAGCAGGTGCTGCTCTGCTGACATGCCCATCTACCCCTCCTGCAGCCAGTGGGTCAGGCCAGTAGGGCCTGTGCACAGTCCTGGCCACTCTGCAAGCAGCTCCTGCTCTGGGGCTTCATGGAGCTGGGGTGAATGGCAGGGCCCAGGTAAGGGGGCTGGGTGGCAGGGGACATAAGCCAGGGGCCAGGGCAGGGGCTCCTGACCTGTGGAGGTGCCAATACACCCCAGCCCAGGCCCACAGAGGGGCCTGTTGCTGGGTGATGGGCAGCTGCCAGGGGTCAGGTGGGGCTGTGGCTAGGGGCAGGGCAGTGGACAGCACAAAGGCAACTGCCAGGGCCACGATGGTGTCTAGCACCCAGTGGTCCTCCTCCATTGCTTCCACTGCCCTAGTCACTAGGATAGCCTGCTGCTCCAGGACCAGGAGCCTTTCCCTGCACTTCTGGTCCGCCCAATCCTCCTTCCGGCCCTTTCTTCCTCGCACCAGTCCCTGGCCTCCTTGTGTTGGTTCCTGGCCTTCTGCCGGCTCCTCGCTTCCTCATGGGCAACGTCCACTGAGCATCAGGCCCATGAGTCCAGCAGGTGCTCCTCAGCCACTGTGCCCAGCTGGTCCAGCAGCTGGGTCCAGTCCTGGGTCCTGCACTGCCAGTCAGCACATCTGCAGGGCCCCAGCCAAGGCTGGCAGAGACCCTGATGGTTCATCCTGGCTGCAGCTGCAGAACCTAGAGTAGGAGAAAGATCTAATTGTGAGTTTGCAACATTTCTGAGATTAGATGCTCTGTGCCAGGGGGCTGTGCACTGTGCCTCAGATCAGGGGTCGTGCATGGACGGGTGCCCATAGACTGGTAAGTCAGTCAAGTAGGCCTTGGTCTAGGCAGCCGCAGGCCAAGACCCCCATCCCTGCTTGCTCCACAGGGGATCGTGGGCTGCTGGGTGCTGGCTGCAGGCAGCCTGCCTCCCCTGCCCCGTTCCCAGCCTGGGAAAGGCCTGGCTCCTGGAAGCACCTGCTGCCACACCTCCAGAGCCTGTCCCCCACTTCTCCTGCAGGCCAGCCTGTCTCCTGCACTGCCATCAAGCCCATGGCACTGGGTTTTGTGGGGTGAGGGGCTCCTAGGCAACTGGGATGTGGACCTGCTGCACCCCTGCCCTCCCCCCAGAGGGCCTGTCTCCCTATGCTAGCTCTGCACTCTGAGTGTGCCCCTGCTGTGAGTATCCTGGGCATGCAACAAGGAGCTGTTTGTATAGAAAGAGAGGTGCCCAACCCACTATGCCCTGCTGATCGCCATGGTACCCTGGGCTCATATACAAACCTGACATGGGACCCTAAGTTTTGATGGTGCAGAGGTCAATCCTGCCCCACCCAGCAAACTCTGCTGCTGCCTGAAGGGCTACTAGTAGCTGCGTAATACATCCCTGCCCTGCCCAGCTGAGGAGGACATCACCGCCACCATCAATGTATTCCTTGGCATGTGAGAGGTCTTTCCCCACCTAGCTGCAGGGGCACAAGCTGCTCAATAAAGTTTTACACTATCTCCTACCTCCCTGCATGCTGTTGGGGCGGGGGCGTGTCCAGCCACCAGGAGGAGTATGCACAGGCCAGGCAGGGACGGGGGGGGGGGGGGGGGGGGGGCAAGGCCAGGGGCAAGGGCAGGGCGGGCCCTCCCCCAGTGCAGGGCTTACCAGGTGGGCTTGGCAGGCATGCCTGGTGGCCTGAGTTTGTTCCTGCTGGCAGCAAAGATGTGCAGCTTCTGGCAGTGTCCTAGGGTGCAGGGATGCAGTGTTCAGGTGCCCAGGCAGGGCCCCCCTCTGGGGAGGAATAAGCTGCTGGCAGTTGGTGGTGCTATGGGCAGCCTGGTCTCATGGGTGGGGCTGAGCATGTGGACCTGGTGGGACAGGTGCTGGCCTGGGCTCCCAGAGCTGCTGGGGGAGGCCAGGGTTGGGTAGGATGGCAGGACAGGCTCCTGCTGTCCCAAGGGGCCCTCCCCTAGTGACACATCACCGTGGGTACCAGGCCAGGGCAGAGGCTCAGGCAGGCCACCCATGCTTGAATAGATAGCACAGCTCAGGCCAGTGTCTCGGAGTGCAAAGATATCATCCAGCTGCCACATAAAGGGCATGGACTTTCAGGCAGTCCCTGACTGGCAGTTGTGGTCAGTGATGGTGACTCACTGTGCCCGCAAGACCTTGACCTTTATATGACACTGGAGCGCTGTCCAGTCTTGCCAACACTCCCACATGCGGCATGACATGCCCTTATAGATGTGCATGTTGAAACACCTGGTCCATGCAAACTGGCTGAGGACCTTGGCCTCTCCCCACAGTATGATGAGGTTTGTGGTCTCCACTTGGGACCAACTGTGGTCCCAGAAGACAATGTATCATCTCGGGGAGGATACCAGCCTGGCTCCCTTGGTGGCCTGCTGGGCTTCTCCGTGGCAGTGCCAGTGCTGGCAGGTGTGGGTAGGTGCCTGCAGGGCCCAGTGCAGGGACATGGTGTGGGACAGGCAGGTGTGCAGCAAGGGTGTGCCATGAACTAGTGGCAGGGCTGGGTAGGCTGCTGATGCTGTTCTGGGGATAGCTGGAGCAGCATCTGGTTGCTCACAGGGACCACATTTCACGCCAGGCCGGGTCCTGCGTGCATGGGCCCCATGTGTGATCAGGTCTGGCCAGTTCCGTGGAGGCAGGACTTGGTCCAATGCGACATGTAGTCCCTGCGAGTGGTGCTGGGCCCCAGGTAACAGCTCGAGTGGCCTGGAGCTGTCCAAAGGCACATGGCCCACACTGAGCTGGGCCATGCCCACGTAGTGGCATAGGCAGTGCTAGGTACCAGGTGGCTGGAGCC